ATTGGCGACAGAAAAGGAGAAGGAGCATGTTATGCAACCCTAAGTACTGTGTTTCAGTCGCTCGGAGAATACGACAAGGCTAAAGAGTATCTCCACAAAGCGCTTGTCATCACAACTGAAATTGGCGACAGAAAAGGAGAAGGAGAATGTTATGCAAACCTAAGTACTGTGTTTCAGTCGCTCGGAGAATACGACAAGGCTAAAGAGTATCTCCAAAAAGCGCTTGTCATCGGAATTGATATTGGTGATAAGAAAGGGGAAGCATCACATCTTGCAAACCTTGGACATCTCTCTGCAATTGTTGGAAATTATGAAGTTTCGGAAGTATGCTTGGAGAAAGCTTTATCCATATCCAGAGATATTGGAGATAGAAGACAAGAGTTCCGAATCCTTCAATATTACGCCCTTTTGTATTCATTTCAAAATAAAATCAAAGACTCCCTTGTATGTCTTCATTTGTGCATTGAAAAGTACGAGGAGCTGAGATATTTCTTGGGGGCCAATGATGAGTTCAAAACATCACTTCTGGAGCACTCGGGAATATTTCCCTACAAGCAACTTAGTACTCTGCTTTGTGATACCGGAAATGCTCTTGAAGCTCTTTATGTTGAGGAGTTGGGTCGAGCGAGAGGTCTATCAGACTTGATGACAGAGAAGTACTCGCTTGAAACGCAGATTTCTGCTGATCCACAATCTTGGTTTGGCATTGAAAACAGTTTTAGAAAGAAAAATAACTGTGCTTGTTTGTACATTTCTTATTTTCACAATGTTCTGCATTTGTGGATCTTGAAAACAAGTGGAGTCCTTCACTATAAAAGATTACTAGAAGAGAATCTAGTTCAGGCTGGGTTGCCCAAAGATTTGCCTCTGAGTGAGTTTTTGGCTGATAGTTTCCGGAGTCTTGGTATTTTGCCCACTGAAGATTGTGAAGATCGGTCTTTAAATATGGTTGAATTGGAACCTCTCTCCCCCGAACAAAAGAGCCTAGCAAGAATGCGACTCGTGGAGGAGGACGAGGACAAGGAGGTCATTTCAAGTCTATCTTTGTGTTACAAAATGTTTATTGCCCCTGTTTATGATTTGCTTGAGGAGCCTGAAGTCATTATTGTTCCTGACCGCAGTTTGTACAAAGTTCCCTTTGCTGCCCTGAGTGAAAAGGAGGGAGCCGAATACCTGTCGGAGACTCATAGGATCCGTGTCATTCCTTCTTTGACAACACTCAAGATCATTCGAGATAGTCCACAGGACTATCACAGCAACACTGATGCCTTGATAATAGGCAATCCCAAGGTTGATTGGCTGCCACCATTGCCAGGTGCAAGAAAGGAAGCGGAGATGGTCGGACGACTGGTGGGTGTTCCGCCTCTAGTAGGAGAGAAAGCAACGAGGCAGGCGGTGCTTGAGCGGATAAGTTCAGTGAGCCTGATACATTTTGCTGCCCATGGTGACGCCGAAAGGGGAGAAATTGCCCTCTCCCCCGTTCCTACTTCCAACAGTGGAAACGCTACCCAACCAAAGGAAGATTACATGTTGACGATGGCTGATGTCTCACGAGTGAAAGTCAGAGCTAAACTGGTGGTACTTAGCTGCTGTCACAGTGGAAGTGGAGAGATAAGAGCCGAGGGAGTTATAGGAATTGCCCGTGCGTTTTTAGGATCCGGTGCTCGCTCGGTGTTGGTTGCGCTGTGGGCCATTTCAGACAAAGCAACAGAGAAGCTGATGAGTCGGTTCTACAAACACCTTGTTGAAGGAGAAAGTGCCAGTGAATCCCTTCATCAGGCCATGAGGTGGATGAGGAAAAATGGCTTAAGCGAAGTGTCTGAGTGGGCTTCGTTTACGCTGATTGGAGATGTGAGGCTCGAGTTTGACAAGCAGAGGTAAGACTTGATGAGAACAGGTATTTCATAAATTAATAAATTAAATGTGAAGGTGGCTATGACTTACTGTTCGCTGACTGTCGGCAGTTATCCTTTGTCACCTTGAATATCAAGGCTAGTTTTATATCTTTTTTTTTGTTTCTTTCAAAGAGTAACAATTTATTCTCCCAGTTAGGTGTAAAATATAGAATTTCGAAAGCGTCTCTCTGCCAATCAGATACAAGTGTACATTTGCCTACATATTGCGCCTGGTATAACTGTATTTGCTTTATTTAAGAAATGTTGATTGTGTTATTTATAATTGTTTTTTACGTTTGTCACAGGAAAAAAGATGAGAATATCTCGAAGTAAACAGACCTTAGAGACTTTTAGCTGGATAAACAAATAGAATAAGTAGAGAAAATACTCTATCCGTTATTTCATTGTGTAATTACAGAAAGGGCAATCTCAAATTAAGCATATTGATTTTAATTTTTTGCTTTCTCTTTTCCGATCTTCTCAGAAGGAGGTATTGGTTACGTATCCGAGAATATTTTTTTCTGCACGAAAATTATCTTATCCGGCCGATATAATTAGCACGAAACATTATTGACTTATACGGCTCTTAAGTGAAGTGAAATCAGGAAAGTTAAAACAGTAGTTTAAGCATAAAAAACGAGCCAGTTAAGTCTTACAGGGTTTTCCCTCAAAGCCTTTTATTATAGGTTAAGTTAACAGAATCCTAAATTTTTTTATGTAAAATCTTTCCGGAAAGTTTTTCTTTTGGTGAGTTCCAGTACTACTTCTGAGTGCTTAAAAGACTGGAAAAAATACATGGATTTCCAAACAGAACCATGGAAAAAGCTTTCAAGGTCAAGAACTTAATCAGTATCAAGTGGAAAAATGACGGCAGCAATATTTTGAAACTGGTTGAACAAGTCACTTAATTACGTATTGTAATGTTTGAGATAATGTATGTTTGCACAGTGATTTAATTGTTTTCAAGTCAGGTTATTGTCAAAGTGTTGTTTATGGAATCAAAATATTCTTGTTATTTACCACAATTTATACACTTTTTTGGGCAAAGTTTCTTAGAGGATTATGCAGTAATTCCAAAGACGCTAAAATAAAAGATGGCTTAAGAAAAATTTTAGACAATATCGTGAACGTTTGTTTTAACCAGGTTACAGAGTAAAACAGATAGCACTGTTGTTCATTGTTAAGGCGGCAAGGTGGTGGGATAAATGATGCAAGTGGTAGGAGTGTCTGCTGCGGTCTACTGACGCGGATAGGAATGATTAATGCTTGCTTCCGCAGAAAACATCAACAAACGCTATGATCGCAAGAAAGTTGTTTTGTTTCTCAATGCTTTTCAGCGCATTTCTTTGATCGTTTCTCCTCAACCCATGTTACTTGATACTTGTCTTATAATCAAAAAAATTCTGGCGATGAAGTTCTGGTGATTAGTATGCTAACGTCGAATATTAGTTCCAGTATTAAATAGCAATCCAAGCCGCAACAGTTATAGCGTCAAAGATCATAACAAATTATGGGAGCCAAACGAGTTTTTCGTCCCTTCATTTGACGAAAATTACGTTAACTTCAACATAAAAACTTGAGGCATAAATAAGTGATCACATGCACGAAAAAAAGTTTGACCATGTCACGTGTTCTTGATAGGGTGTCCTTCTCATTTCCTTCTTTAACAATTTCTAAGAGCGTTTAACATCACGCTAATTATTCCGAACGTTAACACCTGAAATATTTGAAAGGAAGCGCCAGTGCCTGAAAGCACCAGAGATGTTGGTGAAATAACTTAAAACGTTGGCGAAACGACCTAAGACGTTTTTATAGCAACAGCTGGTCGTTAAAGAAACGACCCCCAAGCAAAACGGTCGCAATTCCCCGATATAGATCAGACTTAACCGCTGATAGCCATTCACTCGTGGAAAGCGGAAGGAACCACTACTACTAAAAAAATCTGCGTCTAATGAAGTCGATATTTCCGATCCAGTCACTACCGGTCGACGTTACAGCCGGCCAGGTTACATTTCTAGCCTAAACAATAATGGCGGCTGCCAGCGAGTTTCCGACAGAACTGGCGACCCGTCCTTTGGGCCTCACAGCTCTTATGGGACTTGATATTAATCAGAAACCTTTGCACAAAGCTATCTGGGAGTCTTTTTCTGTGAACAGGCATCCTGAGAGAGTTCCACTATCCTTCAGACTTCTACCAATTGATCACGAATTTCCCAAAGCAAAATCAAAGGTGAGCTTTCCTATCGCTTTTAAGTGTAGTTACTCTTAAATCCTTTGATTACGTGAAATTCTTCTTATTTTGGTTACATTTAAGCTCTTTCAGTATAGTTTATTTAGTATACTTTTCCCTATACATTTCCTAAGGTGCTGACGGGGAGAATTTGTTCAGCAATCAAGAACTTTAGTTGGTGATCATTTCCTATATTCTCATAACCTTGGCTTAAGGTTTGATTCTGGGATTGTATAGCAAAGAGAAATTAGATGCTAAAGGGTTAAATGGACACTATTTTTGTACAGCAAGGCTGTCTGCATAGGAAGCTGCCACTGTTTCATTTTTCTTATAAATTGTATAAAGAAAGTTTAGATTTCCACAAAATCATTTAGAATAGTTTATCAAAAATCAATCATACTCCTGGGTTTTTTTTCCAAATAAGCATTCTCTTGCTTCCTTGAGTTCTGACTTTCTTAAACCTTTTACTCCAAAGATTTCCTTAGTAATTCTCTGTACTGTCTGGTGTACAATTCTTGGGATGTTAGAGTTTTGTCCTTTAAGACGCGAGAGAGCAAGATAGTGAGTCTGAGTCCAGTAAGCTTCTTTGAACACAAACTTTAATTACTTGAGAGGCAGGTTACCTTTAGAGCTAACGAAACAACAACAACGCGATAGCGACTCTCTTATTATATATAAATGTTTTTGTCGTGTAACCCGAGAACTGACACGTGAGTAGTCCGAAGTGATTACATAACCAGTCCAGAAAGTTACATAACAGTTGAGAGTTACATAAGAAAGAAAAAGCAAACGTTGATGTCCGGAAGGTTTTTTGCATATCATAACATCTTTCCCTTTTTTCTATTTTTCTTTTTTTTTTTTTTTTTTTTTTTTAACTATAACTCAATGTCAAACTTTTTAGGTGGCTTGATCAATCGTCCATGTCGTGTCCGTATTTCAGTTGTAGTAGCTTCGTGAGGTGGTCTTGCACTCAGCTCTGTTTGAGGTGTTGGGGGTAGTTGAGATCTTGGAGGGGACATGGATGTTCCTACTTGAGAACTTGCTGGAGGGGGTTGGTCCTGTTCCTGCAGATTGTCTGGAACGGTCAGGTCATCTTCGTCCATTTTGAAGGGGGTTTCTTGAAGTGGTTCCATGGTAGAACGCAACTGCTTGCGATTACGCCTGTAGAATCTACCATTGACTTCAACCTTGTAACTGCGAGATGCCACTTTAGAAGAAACAACTGCTTTTGACCACTTTGTTTCTCCAGGCATCTTCATGCGCACTATGTCACCTGATTTGAGTTCTGAGAGTTGTTTAGCATGTTGGTCGAAATGTTTCGCTTGCTTGACACGATCCCTTTTGAGAAGATCACTAACTGTTTGGTCAGTCTTGAGTAAAGACTCTGAGAAGGGTAGAAGTGTCTTAGTTCGGCGACCAAAAAGTCGTTGGCATGGAGACATACCTGTCGCAGCAGTGGGGGTGTTGTGGTGATCCAATAAACCAAGATATGGATCGGATTGAGACAGAAGAGCTTTCTTCATTAAAGTCTTGCAGGTTTTGACTGCGCTTTCGGCCATCCCATTAGCTTGTGGATAGTGTGGTGAGGTGGTGATATGAGTGAACTTCCACGTTACTGCAAATCTTCGGAACTCTGAGGATGAGTACTGAGGACCGTTGTCAGAAACTACGTAATCGGGTACCCCATGTCGCGAAAAATGCATCTTCAGCTTGTGAACGACTGTCTGGGACGTAGTATCGGCAAGATGATCCAGCTCGATAAAGTTGCTGTAGTAATCAACTAATACGAGGTAGTTTCGGTTCTCGAAGGTAAACAAATCTGTTCCAACTCGTTGCCATGGCCTGTCAGGAACTGGGTGAGGCTGAAGAGGTTCACTGGCTTGTTCAGGTCTCACACTTTGGCATATAGAGCATTTATCAATACGATTCTTGAGTTGTGCAGACATTCCTGGCCAGAAGAAAACCTCTCTGGCCCTTCGAAGGCATGCTTGGAGTCCCTGATGGGACTTGTGTGTTTCCTCTATCATGTCACGGCGAAGGCTCTCTGGGACAACGATCTTCGTTCCTTTGAAAACTAGGCCATTTTGGAGCGTCATTTCATCTCGGTATTTGAAGAAAAGCTGTGCGCTTGTAGGTACCATGGAAGTTTTTGTAGGCCAGCCAGCGCGTATAACTTGTGACAACGCTAGTAAAGATTCATCCTTGGCCGTTTCCACTTGAAACTTGGCAAGTGTCGACTCTGATATCGATAAGTCTTCAACAAAGTTGACAGTTTCTAGATCTTTATAGCAGGATGAGGTGCTAGCATTTGGTACCTTTGACTGCTTAGGTAGAACGCGAGAAAGTGCGTCAGCGATGTACATCTCTTTGCCTGGCTTGTAAGTGAGATTCAGGTCAAATCTTTGAAGACGTAGCATCATACGCTGTAATCTCTTAGAAGCTGTATTGATTGGCTTCTTCTGTATAGCAATCAGTGGCTTGTGATCTGTTTCGACTGTGACGTGCTTGCCATAAATGTAATGCTCGAAGTGCTCACAAGAGAATACAACAGCTAAGAGCTCCTTCTCAATCTGTGCGTAATTTTGCTCTGTCGACGTCAGTGCCCTGTTGGCGTAGTGAACTGGCTGTCCTTCCTGAAGTAGAGTTGCGCCAATGCCATACTGTGAGGCATCGCACTGTATAGTGACATTCTTACTCACGTCAAAGTACTGTAGGACTGGGGCTTTAGTGATGAGCTCTTTTATCTCCTTGAAGGCTTTATCTTGGGGGTGTTGCCAATGCCATTCTATTTCCTTCTTTTCCAACTGTCTTAAGGGCTGTGATGCTGTAGACAGATGTTGGCAGAATTTCGCCAGATACTGCACCATTCCCAGAAACGTTCTGAGTTCAGCGAGATTGGTAGGCACTGGATAGTCCACTATAGCTTGTACCTTTGACGGGTCAGGTTTTAGACCTTCCGCTGTAAGGAGGTGTCCTATGAAAGGAACTTGTGACTGTCGAAGTTTCAACTTCTCGCTGTTGAGAGTGAGGTTTCTTTCTCTTGCGCGACTGAGGAAAGCCTTGAGATTCTGATCATGGTTGGCAATTGCAGCTTCATTAGAGTCTCCAAAACCGCAAACTAGGAAATCATCGGCGATGACTTCAACACCTGCGAGTCCTTCTACTAGCTCGTGCATTCGTTGTTGCCATACTTCTGGGGCTGAGTTTATTCCGAATGGCATTCTGAGCCATCGATAGCGACCAAAAGGTGTGTTCATGGTTGTCAAGTAACTACTCTTTTCATCAAGTTGTACCTGCCAGAATCCACATTTGGCATCTAACACGCTAAAGACTTTAGCACCACTAAGGCGAGTTGCTACTTCCTCAATAGTTGGAAGTGGATAATGCGAGCGTTTCACTGCGCGGTTGAGATCTCGAGGATCCAGACATACTCGTATTTTCCCGTTAGATTTCTTCACTATGACAAGGCTAGAGACCCATGATGTCGGTTCAACTACCTTGGCGAGGATACCACTCTTCACCATGTTATCCAGCTCTAACTTGAGGGTATCTCGAAGTGGGACTGGCACTTTACGAGGGGGATGTACCACCGGGCGGAAACCTTCGTCCACTTGAATGGAGTAGGTTCCTTCAAGGCAGCCAATTCCAGTGAAGATATCGGTAAATTCATATAGGATAGGATCACTTCTAACATTTGACGAGACGTCAATTCTTTCGTCGTGAATCGCATTTACGTCAGCATCCAAGATTTTGACCAGGTTCATCTTTTCACACGTCGTTCGACAGAGGAGGGGTGTCAAATCTTGCTTCACAATGTGATAAAGAACTCCATATTTTCTTCCTTTCCGTTCAGTAAGTAGGCGGATTTGACCAAGTGGCCAGACTACAGTCTTGTTGTGCATGATGAGCCTTGTAAACGACTGTTCAAGGTTTGTACACTGTTTGTCTCCTGTAGCCCGGATGTAGGCACTTTTGGGGAGAATAT